CATAACTGAAATTAGTAGAAAATGATGGCATGTGCCAATATATCATTAAGGAGTATGAATAGGAGTTTCAACACATCATGGTCAGAAGCCTTGAATCGAATAAAAATAAAACAATTTCGCGTTTATGTACTTGTTGCAATACATCACACAAATAACCAAAAATGAAACAAAAAAAAGTAATATTGTACAAACCACACCAGATCTATTAAGTAGTCAAAGTGCATGAATCTGAAATCACAATCTCATTGGATTTTATTTTATTTTATTTATATTTATTTATTTATTTTTAGCTGAGCCATCCTGCCACCTGTTGGCAGCTCAGCGGCAACTCAGTTCGGGCTGGACTCGAACCACTGTTGCTCAGAGCTCAGACTCTTGAGCGAGCTCTTAACCAACTGAGCCACTCGGCCAGCCCTTATTTTATTTAAATGTGAAATTTAATCCTCCTCTTCAGTTTTGATAAAGTACTGATTCTGTCAACTGCCTCTTTGGTTTAAGAAAGATTGGTCTTCCCTCAATCAACAAAGTAATGATGCTGAATTTCTAGGCCTTTGTCAAGATATGAAATTAGGCTATCTCCTAGTCTATTCTTATAAAGGTCTTCTCCGAGAAGTGATATTTAAGAAAGTTCATCTAAGGAACATGGTACCTCTATTTTAGGTGCTTTGAGTTCTACCATTGTATCAAGCTAGATCAATGGAAATATACATTCATGACCACGTAAATACATCTACAAAAATCTGTCACCAACTTCAACCTCAAAGTTATGTTCTTAGGTCTCTTTAAATTTGTTATAAGATGATGTATTATAGAAATGTACACTTGAAACCTATGTAACTTTACTAACTGTTGTCATCTCAATGAACTTTAATTTTTAAAAAATTATTATAAGAAATAGTTATTATATATAAAACTCTCTTCTCGTTTTTTAGAAAATATTGCAGATATTATTCAATACATTGTTCAGCATAACCATACATGAGAAATTTCTTCATCCACTTAGTGACAGAAAATTCATCTATTGATGTGTTTCTTTTCTTTCAATAATGAGAATTATAGACTTTCTAAGTTTCCTTTGTTATCCTTACCGCTGGGAAGTTCAAAGCTAAATTTGCAGCTCTACCAGAGCAAGTATGTTAAAAAAATATGTAGAACCTATTTGCATTTGTACTTATTCTTGAATTTGATCCCTATTTTATCAATTCATTTTCTAATTTGGGCAGTGGCTATTTATAAAGAGATGAAGTATAGATACATAAATTTACTTCATACTCCAGGAAGAGTCTGTTCAGAAGACTGAATTGATCTCTCAACCTGAAATTGGTTAATCTTAAAAAAATGTTTTACAGGGGGTCCTCCGAGTGGCTCAGTTGGTTAAGAGTGTGAGATCTGAGCAACAGGGTCACAGGGTTGATTTCCACAGGGGCCAGTGAGCTGCGCTAGAGCTGAGCTGCCACTGAGTTGCCAACAGATGGCAGGATGGCTCAGCTGGTGAGAACACGTGCTCCTAACAACAAGGTTGCCAGTTTGACTCTCGCATGGGATGGTGGGCTACGTACCTCCTCTCCCCCGCTGCAACTAAGATCCAACATGGCACCTTGAGCTGAACAGCCGCAAGCTGCTGATGGGCGACCAGCAACCGGATGGTGACTGGACTTGGAGCTGAGCTAGCTGTTCCTTCCACAACTAAGACTGAAGGACAACAACTTGGCTGTTCCCCTCCTCATTTCCCCAATAAAAAAAAAAATCTTAAAAAAAAATGTTTTACAAAGACTAACTGCAAAACACTGTTTTAAAATTAAAATGAGCCCCAAAATGTCATCTTCATTTACTCACTAGTTTAGTAATATTAACCAGTCTGTATTGTGTATCCAAATAAATTATACAATAAAAATGTTGTTCTAACATTGTTATTATTAATTGTAAATCACTTATCTCTGATTTTTACGATATGTATCGTTATGTACTGTAAAGCTTAGCAGAGCCTCCCATCAATGCCCAGAAAAATTATCTCTAGCATCATGAAGACAGCTATGGCAGATGCAGAACATCTTATAGAGGAATAGAGAAAACAAACTACATTTTGGCTAAGCAAATAAGGTAGAGAAAAGAAAAGTTAGTGACAAAACAGTAATAGGTTGTTCTTCAGTAGTGCTTTTCCATGGTCTTTTTTTGCTGAGATAGAAGGTTAATTATATTGATGCTCTTTGTTTTCTCAGTTTCAACAAATTAAGGTGCATAGGTACCTTCAAAACAACACATGATAGGAGGAAAATGACAACAGCAGTGTTTATCTGATAAAAGCTCATTCACTAGTTATCAACATTAGTCAGCCTATAATGCACAACCCAATAAATTGACAAATAAAAGGATTGCTTTAGCATTACAGAGACATAACCTAGGTATAACTTTAAGGGCTTCCATAAATTAATCAGATTACCATGTGCACACATCCATGTACTATCAGGCATATATATAAAAAAACAACTTGTTTCAAGGTAGGGGATATTTAAACAGTGATAAAAATCATCCATGACTAGCCACACTGGCACTGTATTTCCTTAGCAGACTCATGCTTACAGACCTCACATGCCTCATTGTTATGACTCTAATAAGTATAGGAAGGACTATGGGATAGTTTGTTGGCTGGGAAAAATGCCTGTGGTTATGTTGCTATTTTACTAGTCATGCAACTTAAAATATCTACTGTGGGTTTCAAATCCACAAGTATATTCCTTCTGACTCTGCTTTCACATTACACAGAAGGACACAGGGAAGACAGACTGCTCTGATCTGACACAAAGAGGACAATAAATCTTTGAATACATTTTCTTTACACCATAGTTTAGGACAAAAGGATTGCAGAATAATATTTATCATTTCAGAAAAAACAGCAACATAGGAAATAAATATTTGAATGAAAGACAAACTTTTGCTCCAAGAGCCTTTTTTCTCTTAGAGATTAATTTAAAAATTATTGACTACTTTTGTATCCTATTGACTCGAAGAATAACTATCAAAGAAAAACCTAAATACATGAACTGCTCTATTTTATGAATAATTTAGATCTTAACTTTCATTCCTTCTTTTTTCCCTGTCATTCTTCAAATTTCTAGTAAAGTGTAAGTAATATTGAAATTCAAAGACACACACTGTTAATGCTCTTTGAGTAGCTTGAATGAAGGCCTTTAATATAGGAAGTACTTATGATTATATTTTGATATATTTAGGCTGACATCCACTTAGCCTCTATTTAATATAGCTTTAACCTCTAGTTTTCTGGTTTTCTATAAATTCTAGTTTATATTCATAGGATTTAAAAAAATCATCTTTAGGTATACATAAACCTAAGTATACAGGACCATAGGACCATATAAAAAGGTTTATTTAAGTTTGGAATCTGGATTCTGGTAAAAAAAAAAAAAAAAGGTATGAGATTCTGTTAAAATGAGCCTGACAAGTCTTAGCCCAAAGTTACACTGAGGAGAAATCTGTTTTTCTTTGAAAACAAGAGTGTAATCAATATTTTCATAGAATATGAGTATAAAATAGAATATAGTATTATTAAGCCAGGGTTAACATTTCATTAGTGATGATTTCACTTTTTAAAGACCGTATAATAAGAACAGTTTAATCTCATAACATGGAAGTTTTTACTTCATTATTGTTGCCTCTTTATTTTTGGCGAAATTGTACTTTCAAGTGAGTAGACAGAAAACTTCAAGTAAATATACATGTTATCCTACAGCATTAAGTGATCTATTGGCCAGAAACAAAGGATAGAGTAGGTGTTCTCTCTAGTCTCAAGTACAGTATGCCCTAAAATATTTTGGGGGGTATTGCTGGAGAGTGATTTAATTTTTAGCAGCTTAAGCCCACACTTTGCTGTGGATCCCAACTTCTGCATTTGTTCTGATGAGCCATTGGCTCAATGGATAAATATTAAAATGGCTCAGTGTAATACTACTAAACAGTATCTATTTGCTTTCTTTATGGTAGTTTTTAGGACTGGTCACACTCCCCCCCCCCTTTCCTTCCCTCCTTCCTCTGCACACATATTTTTGAGAGCCCATATTGTGCTAGGAATAGGGTTACTGTCTATTAAGAATTAACAGTTTAATGGAGTTGAGATACTATTAAATAGAAAATTCTAGAATAATGTGGTGTGTGTTACGATACCATGAGAGCACAGAGGAGAAACACCTAATTTAGTTCATGGGAATTAGGAAAGGCAATTTAAAGACTTTACCTGACACAAATACGCAGATATTTGCATACACATGTATGAACACACTTTAAAAATTACATTATTTACTTTCCAGAAATAAGACAGTAATGACTCAGTGTCGACTAATATGCCTGTCTTCAGTATAATGAAAGAAATATACTGTCTCAATTGAGTGTTAATATTTGCAAACTACTTGACTTTTCTAGAAGAACGATACCACACATTTTAAAAATAGTAATGCTTTTCTAATCTCTGCTATATTTTCAACAGCTGACTTATAGTCAATACCCAAAGAAAACTTTCATTTTATGCATGGTAGCGTGGAAGACATGTCAGATGAGTTAAAAAAATAATACGGGTATTTGTCCTGGTTTGGTGGTTCACAAACTATGTGATTTTTACCAAGTCATTTAACTTAATTAAACCTCAGGATCTTCGTTGGAAACGGGGGACTGAGCAAGATGATTTTAAAGTTTCTTTCTAGATTTAAACATCTGACTTTTATAAATGTTCTGGTTTATGTTAACCCTTTTAAGTTACAATTTTAAGACAGTAGCTTTTAAGTTCCCACTCCTAGAAAGTGCTTATAAATGATTTATGTTCTCTAGCTCTCTATAAATTTGACTTTGTCCTACTAGTTACACAAACAGTCCCCACCACACTAGCCAAGACCAGTTAGACTGGTTCTGTTTAGCTCATCAGTGACTTCTTTCTTCACCTCCATCCTGCCCTCTAAGTTGCTGATAGAGCTCGAATGCACACACTTGATCGCGGACCTCAATCTCACCGGACTCCTTCTTGCTGGTCAACAATGTATCCGTGAGTTCCCTTTTCCTTTGTCTTAAGTTAGCTTGCAGTTTAAAAATGACATAAACCCCACCAAGGAATGTGTAGATCTCCAATTTATTATTTGTTTAATATAGAAAAATACTTTTGATAGCTAACATAAAATTATGTCAAGGAATAGATTTGTATTCTTTCTATATCAGTGTTTCCTGTTCTCTTATATCCTTTCCAAAATGTTTTTCTATATCCTTTCTGAAGAGTCCAACAAAAGATAAATGTACATGGTGTTTGACAGCTGTCTCTTAGTTTTTCTGTTTATTTGTTTCAAGAAGAATAGAACATATTTTTGGCTTGGGCTGTGTCTTATTGAGAAAATACTCTTATTTTTGAAGGAATTCATGATAAAAAATGTGAAATCATGAAGATCCAAATTACATTTATTTCTGTAGGTAAATAGTTTAAATTTTAAAAAGTAGATATTTTGAAAGAATAAGAAATAACTTAAGAAGAAAATGTGACTAAATTTTTATAGTTGGATTTAAAAAATAAATCCAGTGATGTACCTGGCCACAATCAACTTTTCTAACAGGTAAGTCATAATTATTTTGTGGTTGTTTTCTTTCAAAGTTAGAAACTAAATAGTAACAAGGTTTCAGTGTACTAACTTGGACCCTGAAAATAATTTGATCTTTAGATTAAATTTTTATTCTCTCTGATTGATATATTGGCATATTTAAAAAAATAATTTCCACTTTGAGAAGGAAACAGTTTGAAAAATTTAAAATTTTCAATGGAATCTTAATAGGGAAAAACTCAGGCTCTGTAGTTGATAGAAAGTTTTACATACTTGTTACGAGAAGTTTAATACTCTTCTTTACATGTTAGTGAAGCAACTAAGAACTACAAATTTTACAAATTTAGTCAGGCTTTTTAAGACTCCCTGCCTTTTGCAAGTACTTCTCTATAATCCATGATGGTTTTGTGCTCTATCCTTTTTACCCGCATTATCTTTAAGAATAATACCATAGAAAAGAGTGCTTTTATTTAAACATATAATAGCTACCAAATTCAATATATTAAGTAGATTTCAGGCTTTTTCTATATTAGATGTGGGTGAGTCTGGAATTTGTGTAGAGGAGCTATTATGTGGGGGTATTGGAGTGAATTTTTCTGCATATAGTCTCTGATTTGAAATAAAAGATGTACCTATTTTTAGTTCTGCTTCTGAGCAGAGAGAAGGTACCTCACAAGGAAGAAACAAACAGAAACATCTTTCTGATCTAAAAATTGTATAAAAAGGGGAGCGCATCCATGTTTGAGTTGACCTAGGACATGTTAAGAGAATGGACTAGAGTGGAAAGTGATTCAATTTACCATGCACATTTGCTGGAGTAAGTGTACCAACAAGAATGCTTTGATGAAAGAGGTATGATTGAAATACTGGGATATATACAGGCAATTTATTTTTAAGGACATTGATTCATAACTGGGAAAGCATATAAGAAACAGGCAGAACTTTTATCTAATGGCATGCTCCTTCCTCTTTTGCCAAACTTCTGATAGTCCCTCCCTCACTTTACCTGTTTTAAATGAGATCCACTATTTTAGAATTTAAGGGTAAAGAGATATTTAAACCAGGTAAACATTCTTCTTATGCTGCTATTTCTCCCAAACTCTTATTTTATACTATTCTTTGAGCATGAAGAGATCAACACGTGAATTTTATAAATATGTGACCACAGTAGAAGGTTAAAGAATATTTTATCAGGAATAAGTTTATAGGGAAGACAGTTGGAAAGAGAAAATTATAGTTATTAAATATATTTATTGGTGATGGGATATATGCTGTATTCATCAGCAACCACTGATAAGAATTAAAGGTAAGCAGACCAAATTCACAGATATTAATATCTATACACTTTTAGATAGATGGAGGTCAAATGAGTAATATTCAAATTAAACATAATGAGCAACTTGAATGTTTTTACTCAGTAAGGTAAGACTATCTCTCATTCAATGGTCCATGGACCCCCTGCATTAGATTCACTGGATGCTTCTTTTTCTTTTCTTTTTTTTTAGTTAAGGTTTATTGGGGTGACAATTGTTAGTAAAGTTACATAGGTTTCAGGTGTACAATTCTGTAATACATCATCTACATATTATACTATGTGTTCACCACCCAGAGTCAGTTCTCCTTCCATCACCATATATTTGATCCTTTTTACCCTCATCTGCCACCGCTGTCCCCCCTTACCCTCTGGTAACCACTAAACTATTGTCTGTGTCTATGAGTTTTTGTTTCTTCATTTGCTTGTCTTGTTCCTTTATTGTTTTCAGTTTTATATACCACATATCAGTGAAATCATATGGTTCTCTACTTTTTCTGTCTGACTTATTTTGCTTAGCATAACAATCCCAAGATCCATCCATGTTGTTGCAAATGGCATTATTTCATCTTTTCTGATGGCAGAATAGTATTTCATTGTGTATATATACCACATCTCCTTTACACTGGATGCTCATTAAAAATAGAAAAGTCCAGTTCTCATTCCAAAAATTCTAATGAATCTCTGGTTGAGGCATGGAAGATGTATTTTTAAAAGTTATATAGAAAATTCTTGTTTGCACTAAAGTTTGGGAAGAACCGATACAGTGTAAAACTATAAAAAAAGAAAAACTTGTAAGATGGAAAGAAAGTAAAGCAGAAATGAAATGGGTCAGCTTTTTAAAAAGGTAGCCCTTTATTTTATTTAAATAGGTATAATTATATTTTAATGGGAGATGCTCTCTCCCTAGTCACCTTTCCCTCCAAGGGAAATGAGTATTCATTTATGCAACATTGTGATGAGTAAGAAGGAGAGGATAATTTTAGAAGGTATGGGAAACTGAAGAGAAGATACTGATGTGATTTGTGTCATTCTTGTCAAACAGGGAGAGTGGTCTTTTTTGGATTAGAAATCCTTTTGTTTACAGGAAAAAAACCTCAACTTAAAACTAATCTTGCAATATTCCCCCTGAAATTTGTCAATAGACAGTAATGCTTATGGGCCACTCTGTTGAAAGTTAGGCCCAGAATTGCTGTATGATTGTGCTCCAAACACGGGTCCTCACTTCTCCTTCAACTGAGATCACGCCTGGTCCACATAACAACTTTCAACAAGTTCTCATTGTGTACTCAGTTCTGAGTGGAAGAAAACTATCTGTTGAGCACCAATTATGTATTGTAGGTTTTGTAAAATGCTATCTCATTTAATTTTGACAATACCTTGGGAAGCACTTATTGTGATCACTCTTTTAACAGATAAAATAACTGCAGCTCAGACTGTCCAGGGTTAGTAAGTGTTGGATCTAGAATTTGACCTTGGGCTTTCTGTCTCTAAAATCTATACCCTTTCTACTGTAACACATAGTCTATCATGTGTGGGGACCTCAAAGAAGAGTCTGTGCAACCTTTTCACTCTAACAGAGAAATGGAAAGCATGCGTACAAGCATACCCACACATGGAGAAAATGTATATGGATGTATACACATATGTGCCTATGCAATGTATAGGCTGAGAAACAGATCATACACAGATTAATATGAAATAATGCACAGATATGCTCAAGGAGGAAGGGTGGTGATATTATTTTATTTTCATTGATAAGTTTTTAACATTTTAAAGAATGAACGAACTACCCTTATTTAATTTCCTTAAAACTGTCTTTGTATTATATTTAAATATAATAAGAAGAATGTGACCTAACTTTTTCACACTATCTCAAAGATGATCAGTGATTGAGAGTATAGCACTTTAATTACATCATTGCTATTTTATAGAAAGGATTACATTTGCTACTGTATGAAAATCAAGTTCATCTTAGTGCATCATTTCATAGAAGGAATTTGTCAGTCTGTAATAACTATGATTGCTCACTAGACCTTTGTTATTCATTCATTCAATAGTTGAGCAGGTCTTCTAAGATGGTAGGTGGTAAATTGAGTGTTTTGGTTGCATTTCTTGGCTTTGTCAGGGTTTGGATTTTAAAAAACTGCACTAAGAACTTCTCCAACCATACTCCTTTGTACATATTCTCGTCAAAGATGGTAGATGAGAATTGTGAAGAATGTTGTCCAGTTTCAAGCATAATTTAATAGATTTGGAATGAGTAGATTAGAGATTAGGAAAGTTTTAAGATGTTGAGAAAGAAAAATGGGCTACAGAGACACCAAGTCATGCCAGAACCTGCAAACCCAACCTTCTCCCAGGCACATTTATCACCTGCATGGTTGGGAAATTTCTGAGATGTTTAGTAATTATGAGATGATAGAACTAAGCTTCAGGGAATCCAAAATACCATACAGTTATTATTAAATTCTATTTTGCAGACTTTCATCTGAGATTGTCAGATGATACCTTATTTTTGAAGCTGCAAAAGCAAATACAGAAGGATTTAGCACTGCTCAAAATCAAACTATGAGTCAGTACAGAAGAAAATAATTGCTATTGTTTGTTTCACATGTACTATGTGCCAACGACTTTTCAAAAACATCATGCACACTTAATCTTTATAACAACCTATGGTTATATTATTATACCATTTTATAGGTGAGAAAACTGAGGCTCAGAAAGGTAACATTATTTGCCCAGAGGCCATAAATGGCAAAACTGTGAATTAAACCAAGTCTATCTGACTGCAAACCTATGCTCTTAATCACAATACTATACCATCCTCCTTTATCTATTGAGGTGGTTCTATTACTACGTTGATTTAACTGTCTTGTGTGTTTAAAGATATAAAAGTTAAATTTGCAAGGAACAATGTTATTATTGAATGGATATGCTTCTAAATAGACCGCCGAAGCTGTTAGACAGGAAGTATTGCTCTCTGCATTCTATAAAGTAAGGAACACCACATTCAAAGATTAGGTAATTTGCATGTAGTCACAGGAATGGGTGTCAGGCAATACTAGAGATAGCATCTGTCCTTCCAGTGGACCTGTATGTATATTGAATCCAATATTGTCATGTAGAAGAGTTAAATTAACACAA